GGTCATTGTGTTTTCCAAAGTGTAATATACATTTTGTTATCTTCCGTTAAGTGCAATTTTTATTTTTATTTTTTTAGGAAGTAGGTTCAATATTCTTCCTCTAACTCAATGAGTTAGGGTATGTTGTGCTATTAAGGTTTAATAAATTGGGGGAAAGCTTGGGTTCAAATCAAAATTGTGAGGCATAAGGTCACGGATTGGATGCTATATTGAAGCCTGAATCAATTGAGCGAGAACCGTATTGTGACTTTGGATGGCAAGGAGATGTGATGAAGGTGATATAGCACCAAAATATATTGTTAAGTTGTTGATTTCATTTTAATTTGGTTTGGCTTTTTTATTTTTCCTTACATACGTCACAATTTTGATTTCAACCCAAGATTTACCTCAATTTGTTAATAAAATGTTTATAAATTGTAAAATTTGAAAAACACAGTAACCAATTTGGCTAAATTTTTTTTCTCAGTTACCAAATTGAATTTTCGCGTAAAACCCAATCACCAAAAAAGACCCAAAAAAAACCTTGTATTGTTCATTACATTAATAATTTCAATTTTTTCCAACCAAACAATAGAATCACGTTCATTCCATTCCCATTCTTCTATATTCTATACCAACCAAACACCACCTTATTTCTGCAATTGGATTATGGGAAGTACTCGTCATGTTGGAGATGTTAATTTATATAAGTCACAAGGAAAGGATGCGTTCCATGCTTTGGTGATTAGATTCTTAAAGCAAATATGAGTTGTGTCGTTTCATGAGAAAGAAAAATTATTAAGCATTGGATACCATTTGAAAAAGCCAACACTCAAGATTCATCCTTTGCCTTTTTCTAGCTATGATGAAAATAACACCAAAACCAATCGTTCTCTCTAAAAGCCTTTAGAAAACATGTCAAGCTAAACATGCATGGTTTGATTTGGGACCCGGAGTTGCTCCTCACTAAGGTACAAACCAACGTCTCCTTCCTCCTCTTGTTTGGGACACATTAGCATGGAACCCATGACTAATAGGCATGTTTTTATGGAACCTAAGGAGCTTATTTTTGCTTTGAACATACATGTTCTTAACTTTGTCAAATTGAAACGTTAAAACTTTTTCAAATGAAACTAGTATGAGCTTGATCCTCTACATTGATGTCACATAGTGCATGTGACAACGCAAGGGTGAGCCTTATGCTAGGTTGCCGTTCACTTGTTATATATACTAATCTCTCAATTCGCGCTTATGGACGTGTCAATAGGTTTATTTTATTCTTATCGATATAGAATTTTTGTTAAACATAGACTCTTGTTATTATTTTTACAATTATTTTCACTTTAATAGACTATGGTTTACGCATGTCCTGTGTGGATGGATGGTGCCACAAAGCTCGTACGGTGAGACGGACAGCACTTAATGTTGTGGCATTTTCAATGTTGATGGGTTTTACTTAGTTGGACAGCAGGGCAAGACCCCACATCAAATAAAGGTGCTCAATGCAATTTTTTTTTGGTCAAAAGAAAATTTTCATTGCCAAGTAAAGAGCATCCAACTCTGCCACATAGGAGCTCAATTTCGTAAGTCGGTAAAAGAAAAGCAGGTGTTTAATGCATTTACATTTAAATTAGGGATTACATTTGCAGAGCTGAATTATGTGACTAGATAAGATTTATAATCCTAGTTAAATATTTGATGGCTTAAAAACAATATTGATTGAAAAATATCTAATTTTACTGAGTTTAAATGTAGTAAGATTATAAATCCCGTCAAAATATTAAGATTAAGTTGAATTGGATTATGTCTGCTAGGCCATGCAATAGTATACTTTAGTTAATTCAGTCCCTTAATCATGAATAGTACCAAATGCAGGATTGGATTAATGTTATCTTCTCTAATCCAGTGTACCTCCTATCCAATTTCAGTCCCCAAACATGGCCATAGGAATATCTCATGGTTTCTGCTCAAAACAGCCAAACCTTCAAAGAGACATTTGGAGGCTTTAGGCTTGGCTACTCTGAATCATATGACAACAGTCAATAAGCAAGAAACCAGTTATGGTAGGAGAGAGTTTCAAACCACTTTCGTTAATCACTTTATTATGACTAATTATTAATTGAGTAACGTAACACACCCAGTTTTTTTAACCAAAAGTTCAAAAGTAATCAGAATGTTTTCCAAGCCGAATGTCTTGTGCTTAAAACATTTGAACTTGTTCAACATTGCACGTGAGCACTTGTGCTTAGGTTGGGCATGTGTGGATGATGTGTTGCATAAATCTCTCTTTAAAATTCAGGAAAAACTCCATACTTGTCGATCACATTACCCTGTCATTTACATGTCGGGACCGCGCAGAAAATGAAACCAGCAATATGAATAAATCAGAGATAATACAGTGACATGATCTGCTAAATTTGGATTTTGGAATCAGCAACATGGATAAAAATTACCAGCACTGAAAATGAAAGCTGAACTCAATTTAACAAGAAATGCACTCTGCTGTGCCTTACAAACATGTTAAATGTAAAGGAAGATGTAAAGAATAAAGGTATCTGAAAACAAGAAGGTTGATTTACCCCAGAAGTTTAACCAGTGCACCTCAACGGGTTTGTATATGTAATGCTTACCTTGTTGAATACATTTCTTTGTAAGGTAACTTGGACTCTACCTGTATCTCTTTAATTAGTTTGTCACCCACTGAACCCAGCTCATGCTCCTTACATGGTTGGGTAACCAAGCCATGAAGGTCCAAACTCCAGTCAAGGGGTATCTCCGTATCAGTTAATGTCGTTCTTTTGGTCAAGGCACTTGAACTCTAACAGAATCATTATACCTCATCTATTTTTTTCTCTGTTTTCTTCGACACTCAAAACAATCTGTACATGGAGATTTGTTTTTACTTGAAAAACTTGCTTGCAGCTTGCTAGGTGGTATTTTCAGGTCTTCCACTAGTACATGGCGAAGCTTCTCGTTTTCCTCCATGAGCTCTTCAATGACTTGCTGGTGTTTCAATATCTGATGCATAGGCAATTTCAATTTGACAATTCTAAGTATAAAAAAAAGAGAGAAAGGATATTAACATGACTTGAGCCCTCTTAAAGAATGCTTTCCATAAATTTAGACTTTTCCAGTGGTTACTGATATTTTACCAGGCAATATCATCATATCAAACATGTATCTAAGATCAATTTCTTAAAAACAAGGAAAACAAAATAAACACAACCAAAAATTTGCATGAAAATAAACTGGTAGCTATGAGCCGATATTAAACATTACCATCTGAAGCATTTTGTTCTCCAACCTCAAGCGTCCAGCCTACACAGGTAAAACCAAAAATTAGATAATCACAGAAAAGATTAGATAATGAGGGATCAGCCAGCCCACCCACCCACCAACATTAGAATCATGGGTTCAGTTGAACTTCCCATGAAATGGATAAATGCAGTTCCACACTTTTGAACATCCTTTTTAAGTAAAAAAAGAACCACCCATTGCTAGTAGGCAGACAAGTAATTCCCCAAGCGTTTAGATATATTGACTAAGAACTTTACAGTAATCACTGCTGCAAGTGATTATAGTTGGAATCAAAACAAACTACTGCAAACACCTCCCCAAAGAAAATGAAGCAGAAAATTAGAAGACAAACATGCCCCCTGGCTCTCCTGTAAGATTGGAACAAGTTACTTTAGAATGCAATCTTCGTATCACACATTTTCATAACAATTTTATATGGTTCTTTGACAAATAATCATGTTCCATCTGTCACATACCGCTTCATTTGGTTCACTTTCCTCTCCTTTCAGAACTGGATTCTGAAGAAAACTGCTGAGAACTTTTTCTGTTCGACTGCCAAAAGGTGTATCAACTGGAGAGCCTTTTGATGTAAAATTTTCATAGCCTGAAGCAGTACCAGTATTCCCATATCCAGGTAAACCTTGAGATTTATAGTCTGGTGGCTTTGTAGACAACTGCATGTTACTTCCCATTGGATTTTGGCTTGATGGATCATTTACAATGCCTATGGCCCTTTGCAAAGAACTTGGGATGGCACCTTGACCAATGGCTAAATTGGGAGCAACTCCAAACTTCACCATCATCTTTGTGATCCCTTGCTAGAGAATATAGAGTTAATGAATCAGTAGACTGTAACAAGCAACAACTCATGACAAGAGAAACTAATACTCACTACAAGATGAAATTGAATTTGATGTAACACCCCCGGCTTCACAGCAAGGCCTGCAATTGGAAATCAACAATTCAGCTATCACAAACGAATATTGTTAAAATGCATGAATTACAGAGCACTGATGTATTATCTTATTGCATGAGGTCAAAGGATATAATGCCGATTGGATTTTATAAAGAAGACTGTGCAATGTACATTTTGGAACAATGTCATGAAGTCACTATTCAAATAATTGCAACCATAAAAATCTAAACAGAAGAATCTGTTCTTGTTGAAACGTGAAAACTGTTCTGTTATGACTCCAGAAATCTGCACCCCTGATCAAATTCCTTCCACAGGACAAAGAGTTTGAACAGTGCAAGACTCCCAAATGTAAAATATGTACTGTTATCAAGAATGCACATAAACAACTACATAGGCTGAAGGGCTGTTGTGAATGCCAGATAGCCTGCCCAAGAAAATCAGCTAAAACTTTCTTTCACATGCATGAAATTGCACTACTTAAATAAAACATGAATCCCTTCTACAACTCATCAATATATAGTGATAAATCTGTTTGCATCACCAAATATTCTGATTATAAATTAGGCAAGACATATCATACAGAACATGAAAAACCAAGCACCAGCTGTCACAACGCATTTCACCAGGAACTAGTCAACATGAGTCTCCATAATAGTGCATCAGAAAATGCAAATATATGAAACAAAACGTACTATTGAATTCCCTAGAAATGCATAACATGACATACCAACTCCAAAACCATGGCCAATACCAACTCCACATCCAATGCCTGCTTCAATGTTCTTTGCTCCCAGCTTCCTCAACTGAAGAATGATAAATGGGAATAAGAGCTTGAGGAAGTCTTTGAGTGTTAGTAATCATTTTATCTTCCTCTTTTCATGACAATGACAATGATACTCACAAAACTGAAAAATGAAAAGAAGAAGATATTTGACTTACAGAGTTATTTACATGTCTGCTAACGCCAGATAATGCATCAGTAGCACCTCGTGTGGCACCCATGACTTGATTTAGTACTGGTATTGCACCTGGTGTACATAATTTAAATCAATAAGTGGGTTAACTAATATCTGCTACAACCATAACACCCATAGAAGAGAAAGTTGATAGTATTGTTGTCAATAGCATCTCCACTTGAAAAGATACAAAGTTGCACAACTTAAACGCTCATCACTTATCAATCATTCAAATACTGAATTGCATGGATCAAGATATTTTTGCAAAATAGAATTGTCTCTTGCCACCCTATTCCTTTCTCTAGATTTAAGTCTTTGAAAACATATGTGCTGAAAGCATGCTTGAAAATAACTGATATCTAAAGGTATCAGCTGACAGACAATCCATCGCTTGAGAATGGACACTGCTCATGAATACACATTGATTAAGATAACAATGCACAAACTTCAGATTCAGAACAACCAAATTCTAACTTCACAAACATTACACGCATATTAGCAACAAATCAAATTCAAAATCCGAACCAACCAACCATCCGTGCAGTTGCTGTAAATTCTTAGAATAAAAAGGTTCCTACTAAAACGATATACCAAAAATTCAAAATGGCAGCTTTATCCCATTTCCTACATTTTCTCAGCAACCAAACAGACCCAAGTTCCAAAAACAAACAACAAAGGCAATGACAGAGAAAATGAAAAGCAATACATGGTTTCTTAGCAACTTGTGTCTGATGGGTTTCAGCATTTTTGGGTTTGAAGAGCTTCCCCAAGTCCATCTTCCACATAAAATTAGACTATAGACAGAGAAAGCTGTGGAAGAAAAAGAGATAGTTCAATAGACAGAGCGGTACCTAGATTTATGGGGCGACCAACACCGATACCAACACCGCAGCCTATGCCAAAGCCTGTAAATACTTGACCCACTTTCAAAGTAAACGGATTCTCTATTCGGATTACCCCACTTGGCCTTCTCTCATTGGCCACCACCAAGCCACTCTTGCTACTACTATTGCTGCTGCTGGCCTCCATTTCTGAACAAGCTTCTCCCTCTTTTCAAAAGCCAAAAGCTTAAAGCTTAACTCTCTCTCTCTCTCTAAAAGCCCAACCCTCACACTTCTCTCTCACTCCCCCTGAAATTTCCTACCTTGCTCGCTTGCTCTAAACCGCAAATCTAAAACATTAGGTACAAGGCAAAGTGATGAGCCATACTTCTCTGCTAACCAAAAATTGTGTAAACTTAGGCCGGCAATCGGCTACCCGCTAGAAACATGCCCACTTCAACCTAGGAAGTGTTGTTCAAAGTCTTGACATGCTTAAATTACCAAGTTACTCTGAGCTTTGCGGACAATCAGTAATGGATGGATTTAAATTTCTTTGATGGATCCGTGCAGTCGTTTCATAGGATTCTGACTGCGGAGGGAAGGAGTGTTGTGGTACATAAGAAGCGAGGTAACCGAGTATCGAATAAACAGGTAGCTGTTGTTACCAAAAAATAAAAATAAACAGGTAGCTCTCTATGGGCTTGAAAAGGTGAAGCAAGTCCACAGGATCCTTGGATTGGTCTGAAGTGTATTGCTCACAAGTTGCCCAAGTCCGAAAGTATGAACAATACAATACATACGCTATCCGAGGCATCTACTTTTTGTTTTTGTTTTTTTGGTTACATGGCGGGGCAAGCCCCAGGAGAAAAGAAATTAACGAAGAACGCTTCGAGGCGAAGCCCGACTTAAGCTATCATCATGCAAAATATGCCCTAGAGAAGAAGGCATATCATCAAAACTATGCCAACCCAAAGACAATTTGTGACCCATAGCAGCAAGGTGATCACCAGATGTGTATGGAATATGTTTGTAGCATGTTAGAGTCTTGATAAAAATAAATAAGGTTTAAAGTGGGCCTAAGTGAAAAATAAATTCATACATCATTTGGTGAGCAAAACGCAATAAAGAAATTTGGTGTGACGGACATAATTTGGTCTCACCAATTTTTAGCATAAACTAGCATCGAAAAGCAAACTTTTGGAAATGGGCTGCTACGTAAAGCATCTATCAAAACAGGTTGGTCCACGAAGTAATCAGTTTTGGTTGGTCAATTTAATCGATCATTTTCGATGACATGGAAGCATGAGAAGTGCGAACAAACTATGGTGACTAACAACAAGGAGAGTAAAAGATGATCTTGAGGAGTTGATGCGATGAGTGGATTGTGATAATAAATTGTATTTAGTTTCTGTAAAAGGTAGAGTTGTGCTATCAACCTATTTTGTTGTGTTATTTGATTTTCAGTTGAAGCAAAAAATTTATTTATTTTTAATATACATTGTTTAAAATTTATCCTACCACTAAGTTTTCCTCTGGCACCTCTTCCGTTTTTCCGAGAGCGTGATATTATAGTGTTTGAGTTTTATACTATACTTTACGTTTTCAATAGGGCATGACGCTATTACGTCTCTATTTTGAAGCATAACAATGTGTTGAAGTTTTTTGGCTCACCATGATGCAGGATAAGGAAGAGGAACCAAAGGTTGCAAGAGGAGCAGTGAGAGGAGAAGAAGAAGTCATGGAAAGGAGCGGCAGTGTGCCGGTAACCAGTCGCTTTATACAAAGAGCTAAGATTGTGTCTTCAACTCCATGTGACTGGTCGTCCTGACGATCGGTTGGCATGTGAACAGTGTCGCACGTGATTTCGACATTTTGGCGTGTTTGACTTGGGTTTTCTATTATTTTTGGGGTTTTTTTAGCCTAATTTAATAGGATTTTGGTTCACTATTCCTAGTTAACTTGTAGCAAAAGTTATATGCATCATAAATAGGACTTTCAGGGCTCGATTACTAAGAAGAGAGAGACACAAGGGAATTCAAGGGTGCTTTCAAAAGCATCAAAGGGTGAGAGAAAAAAGAGTTATGCCCCGTTTAGTTCACAGAACGAATTTGAGGGGAAATCATTTCCTATGTCATTTCCCAATGGATGGGAAATGAAACGTTTGGTAATGCTGGGAAAGTAACCGAGAGATATCACTTTATTTCCTTTCCCATGTTTTTTTTTGAGTTGAAATGGAAAACAAAGTTTGTATAAATTTTCAATTATACTCATATTAAATCAAATAAAAAAATAAAGCATTTAATGATATATTGTAATTCTAAATTGTTAATGAGGACAAAATGGTCATGAAAAATATTTATTTAATATTGGCTCATTTTCCCAAACTTTTCCATGAGGAGGGAAAACAAAACCCAAGTTGGGAGAATGACTTCATTTTTCCCCTTACTGTCCCATGGGACATGCAACGATTTCTCATGCCTGGACTTACCAAACATAGGAAAGTAATTGATTTCCCATCCCCAAGTCTCATTTTCCATAAACCAAATGAGGCTTTAGGGTTCTTGTGAGAACTAAGGGGGTTTAAGTAGTAACCAAAATTGTTCTTACATACTAGTGAATTTCTCTGGTGGATCACCAAAAGGACGTAGGCATAAGGCCTAGCCTTTATAAATCTTTGTGTTCTTGTGTGTTTGCTTTCTCTATTCGGTGTGTGTGTGTGTTTTATTGGCAAAAGAGTTTGTGTGTGTGATGTTGCATAGTATATCAACGACAAAGTCTTGGAGTGTTTCCGCACAACAAGTGGTATCTAAGCCTAGTTCGGCAGCGGGTATTGGTTTATGCCCAAGTGCTCTTACAATTTTAAGAGCGGCAGTGTGTTGATAATGACAAGCAACAAGAAGACAACACAACTGATGTCTAGTGTGAAGGTTTAGTTGAAGTTGTTCACCGACAAGGAGAACTTTATGCTTTAGCAAAGGAGGATGAAGTACGTCCTTAAGCAGCCGGGTCTCTGCGTAGTCTTGGCAGGCAAAGAAAAGAAGCATGACACTATGACGGATGTGGAGTGGGACAACCTAGACGAGCTTGCTAAAAGGTCCATAGAACAACATCTCACAAATGAAGTGTTGTGTAATGTGATAAAAGACACTGTGAAGTAGACATGGGAGAAACTCGAAGAGATGTTTGAGTCAAAATCGTTGTCCAACAAGCTCTTCTTAAAGGAAGAGTTTCACTCTTTAAAGATGGAGGAAGACGCAAGTATGATGGAGCATGTCAGCACCTTTAATAGGTGTATTGTGGATTTGCAAAGAATGGATGAGGTTTATAAGTTGGAAGATAAGACCGTGATATTTTTGACATTTATGCCTCTGTCTTATAAGCACTTTCGCATGACGCTTATGTTCGGCAAGGAAACTCTAAAGTATGAAGACTTAATGCAAGACATCTTGACACATCACAGGATAGTTCCACGTTCTGGTGATGGCTCTCAAGGTGAAGGCCTCGTGGCGAGGACCGGAGGGCGTGGTCATTCAAGCAAGCGTAGGGGCAAGTCAAGCAATGGTGAAAATTCTAGATTTGAGGACAATGAAGAGTGCTTGAAGTGTGGATTAAAGGACCATTGGAAGTGGAATTATCAAATATGATGTGGGAGAAGGAAAAGGAACCAAAGGCTGCAAAATGAGCAGCGAGATGAGAAGAATAAGGCTAAGAAATGGGCAGTAGCGTGCTAGCGACCGGTCACCATTGGACAGGCCACCGGTCACCGTTGGACAGGTGACTGGTCCCTTTATATCGAGAGCTCAGGTTGTCTCTTCAACTCCATGCAACCGGTCGCCCAATCTTGATGATCGATCGCCACGTGAACAGTGCCGCACGTGATTTTGAAGTTTTGGTGTGTTTGACTTGGTTTTCCTATTATTTTATTTAATAGGGTTTTGGTTTACTATTCCTAGTTAACTTGTAGTAAAAGTCTTATGCATTATAAATAGGAATTTCAGGGCTAGGTTGATAAGAAGAGAGAGACACAAGGGAATTCAAGAGGGAATTTAATGGTGTTTTCTAGAGCATCAAAGGGTTTGAGCAAATGGTGAGAGAAAAGAGAGCTAGGGTTCTTGTGAGAGCTAAGGGGGTTTAAGTTGTGTTGGATATCTAGTTGTATGGATATGGCTATGGTAAGACGAAAGATGCTTCAAGACACATATAAATACACTATCTTTTGGACTTTATTTGACCCCACAACTTGTGTGCAGAGAAGTTGAGTAAATAAGCCATGTGGATACAATGAAGCCTTAGCTTATAGCTATGTGGATACAAGGATGCTCAAGAATATCTAGAAGTTAATATTGCAGGATATAACTTCTAGATGGTTTGCTTTTAGAGAATTAGATGGAGAAGAGCATTGGTTGAATTGTGTATCCCTTTGGCAGAGAACCCTCCTCTATTTATAGAGGAGTTTGTGTCTCTAATGAATTCGTGTTATTCAAATTCAGAAATCCATGTAACTCTTGGATTGCACCTCTTTATCAAAAGGTACCACTTCAATGAGAACACATCTTTTCATGTTAGAGTGTGTTTTTATTTTTGAAATATGTATATGAAGTGTTTCTAAAGAGCAAGCAAACATTGCCTCACATGGTGTAGATATAGAGATCACAATTATTGAGAGTGAAGTTGTACGTTTAACGTCATGAGATGATATAATTTCACTTATACGGCCATAAGATGGTAATGTACGGAGGATGATCATGTTGACATCCAACCTGATATGTATATACAGATATTTGAGTAAGCATTGTGGAATTCTGAGAGTGAAGAGTTAAGATGATGTGGTGACGAAAGAGAGAACCATGGCACTTTGCTCCACAAGTTTTCTGTGAGATAGTTAAAGAGCCCTTGCTGTTACTAAATGCAAAGTTGCTCAATTGGGAGACTTGCATTTTCAGGCATGGCTCAATAATTAAATAACCATGGCCCATTATCGAATTAACTTCAATAGGAGAAAGATTTCCATGAGACGGGAATAGCACTACATACGTGATACCATTTTTACGTGGCATAACATTATTGTCCGGAAATAGCAAACCAATGCTATCCTCCCGTTGCAACTAAGTTTTACGCCATTAATAGAAAGCTGCCCTTTTAATTACTTTGCTCATTGATTCATCAAATGTGACTGGTCAAAGACACAGAGGGTTAGTATTAATTTTCTTACCCCACTACCCAACAACTTAGCAAGTACAAAAGGACCAATTTGCTTGTTAAAATATCATTTAGGATGCAGCTCAATTTCGTTTCTGATATACCATAAAAAACACATGCACTTTTTATATCTTTGAATCTCGTTGCACTAAATCATACATGAATTTTGATGGATTAAATTAAATAGAGACACATTTCTTAGATAGAAACACAAATTTGCCAGAAACTGTGATTTTGAAGACTGCTAGAATTCATCCTGATAAGGAACTGTGACAATCACTTTCACTTCATCAGGGCAACCCTTTTGATCAGCTGATGGCATTGCCATGACGAGTCCACCGGAAACGAATCCGATCCAATAGGAAACAAGAGCAGGCTTTTTCCCTTTGCGAAATTCGACATCATTTGTGCCAAAATCATCCCAGATTGCTACTGCAATTTGACTCTGAAGG